CTTTTTCCTATAGTAGAGGGACCAAAAAGGGTATTTAACCTTTTAATTTTGAGTCAAGAAATAAACATTTCTAATATTGACCAAGCTGAGCTTGAGCCTCTGTTTGGTAATCAAAATTAAATTAGGAAATTGAATATAAGTTATTCTCAAAGTTTAAATTGTTAGTCACTAATTTAATTATAATTTTATTTTAAAATAATTTGTTATGATTTATTAAAATATTTATTTATAAGTTAATTTTAATATATTAAATAATAAATATTAATTATTTTATTAATTATTAATTATTTTTAACAATTAAATTAAAATAAATATTTTATACTTATTAATTAATGATCTTAATATATTGAATGGTCATCATAACCATAGCCAAAGATAAGGGAGTAGTCTCCACAAGAATTAATTAGCCTATTTTAGTCCGGGAACCTGAGCCTATCTTCCATGGAATCGCATCACGCTCCACTAATGAGGGGCAGCCATTTAGTCTTTACCAAAAAGAAAGGAAAGAAACCCAACAGCATCATTAAGCCTTCAGCAGGGGAGAACCAAATCAATGGCAATTATGCTCAACCGCAATCAGGGCCGCAGCCAGGAATTTTGGCTAGGGGCAAAATTTTCAAGTCTCAAAATAATATATTATAATTTTAAAATTTTATTTTTATATCATAAATTAACATAATATTCAACAAGTTTTCATATCACAAAATCTATAAAAAAATGGAGTTTACACTAAATGTTTGAACAATTTCTTTCACTATTAGAAAACAGCATATAATCGACAAAAATATAATCGACAGCCAAAAAACTGTCGATTTTACTTATATCATCGACAAAAACTCTATCGATTATAATAAAATATCGATTATATAGTTATAATCGACAGCCATTGTGGCTGTCGAATATACTTTATATAATCGATAGAAATGGCTGTCGATTATACCTAATACAATTTCATATATTTATATATTTAGTAATAAAGATTTAAAACTATTAAATGTAAAATTATTTTTAACTAATATTATATAAATATATACTTTGATTTAATTATCAATTCTAATACTAAATATTTATAATTAACTTATTATTATATATACATAAAAT